AATGAGAATGAATTAATCCAGGGGGCTGCAAAGAAAGCAGCCCCGTTGGGGGAAGAATCATGTCCTAGTTTCAGGAAGAAAACTGAATGTGGTCTGCAAACAGTCAGGCAATTTGCTAACTGAGCTTCTAGGACACAGAAAAGAAGGGGTCACTGGGCCTGGGGAAACTGGGGATGTTTTTCAGAGCCACAAATTAATACAAAAGGATTTGGGGAAAGATACTGAGAAATTTGGAAGGGAGTATCTTTCAGTTTGTGCCTGGTGATCTTTGGATCTCTGAGATCCTGATAAATGTCTGTTGAATAATTTATTCAGGTGCCTTTTCACTCTGTCCTATTAATATGTTACTTGTTTAGTACCCCTGTGTTGGCATCTCCACTAGGCCTCTTTCTGTTTTATAAGCCAGTCCTTCAATTTCTCAAGAAATACCTAGAGAGTGTTAACTATGTACTAGCACTTGGTGATGTGTACTGATCTTTTTCTTGTGGTGCCCAGACTGAGTAATTACATCCTGTCAGGTATAACCTGGCCGAATTGGAGAGATTCTATGTGGAGACTGCTGTGTTGTCCTCTTACTTATCACTTCATGCATCACATGAATTTTTTATGTGAAGGAAAGTGATCTAATAGAGTCTTGACAGTGAATGAAGAGTAGAATTCAGCCTAGAGTGTTTTCTGGACCTTGTCTTCTCCAGTTAGTTACTCTCCACCTTATTTTGTTCAGACAGAACCTCTTATTGAACTTTGAGCCTACTGATTCAGCTAGATTGGCTCACTAGGAAGATCTAGGGACCCACCTGTCTCCCTCCCCTCCCAACTCCAGCACTGGAGTTACAGGTACTACTGCCATGCTTAACTTTTATAGGGGTCCCAGGAATCTGAACTCAGGTCTTTGCGCTTGCGCAGCGATCACTTTTCTGACAGACCTGTCTCATGAGCTCCAGTTACTATATACTCTTGAAGGGAATTAAGGCCAACAAGACAGCAGCATGGCATAGCTCAACTAGAATGTAATTCGTCTGTCTTTCCTAAGTGGATTAGTCTCTTGGAGTTGAGTATAAGTGAATATATATTCAAACACACACACACACACACACACACACACCACAGGCTTGGAAAGACATCAGGAGTTCACAGGTTTCCCTATAGAATCTTGTTTCTCTAAATTGTACCTCACTCCTGAGACTGCTTCCAGATACCTGTGCACAAAAAAAAAAAAAAAAGACACTGAGGAAATTAGACAAGGAGTCTACCTTTTCTTTCTTCTTCTTTTTTTTTTAATCAAAGCACTTGGAGTCCACTATGCTAGATTAGGCCCCTTTATCTGAACCTATCACCTTCAGAGGTGTTAGGCATTTAATTAACATCTTGGAAACTATGAGCTGCCCGGACACTTTCTGAACTACTTCTATGTAGCCCTTACATTATCACAGTTATCATAGCTCAGTCGTAAGTCAGACATTTATGATTCCAGAAACTGAAATAACTTGTTAATAGCCAATGGTAAGTTAGTGCAGATGAGAAGTGAATCTAGATCTTCAGAAGACCATCCTAGTCTACCTGTTCTACCAACTAACACTTGCTATCTAGGCACATGTGCTCAGCCCATCTCTGCGCCCCCACTTTCTGTAGATTGACTTAACTCTTTTGTGGTGCCTCTTTAGCCATCGGGTCTCGTTTCTGACCTTCTGCCCCATCTGTCCTGAATGTGCTAGCAAAACTCTTTCCCTCTCTCTGCCAAAACTGCCCAACCATGAGTCCCAGGAATTCCTTCACCTTGGGAACACTGTCAGAGGCAATAGCCTCAGCTCCTCTCCACTTTTCCAGATACTGGGAGTCCCCAGAGAGGAAGTATCCAGACTCCATTTCTGAATGCCGAGTTGCCCACTAAGGATCCCAGCCTACTTCTTCTAAGACACATCCCTCAACCGGTCCTCTTCCAACCTTTCCTCTGGTCTCTCGACTTATTTGAGAGAAAAGTTCTGCAATTACGTACAGTTTTCTGTTTTCTTCCCTTTAAAATGTCTTGCAGACGACAGACCTTGAGCCGGCTTCCTTCACAGCTGTACCCTTTCGCCATCCCCTTCCAGGTTTTCAGTCTGCTCAGTTCTGCCCTTTAGAAGACGTTTTGACCTTTGAAGGGGCTGCCCACCACCAGGTTCTTCCTGTGTGTTCGCCACCCTCTTTCTTTCTTTATTCTAGGCTGCTTAGAATTCTGGGCATCAACACAACCAAGGTTGTATTTTATTATATGCAAGACTTCAGTTGCCTTTGCAGTCTTAATCTTTACAGGCCCAAGTTCTAGGACTATGAAACTAAATCATGACAAAGCATCTTTGCCCTTAGATTGTTCCAAACACAGATGAACCTTGGTCAAGAAGCATCTCTCTTCCTGTTATATATGGGGTTAATGCAAAGAGGTGGCCTGGCACTGGGTTAAGAGCCTATTAGCCTAGCCTCCTTTCCAGGGAGGAAAGGCAGAAGAAAGCTTGTGCCAGTGAAGACTAGCCTGTGCACAGCTTTTGGATACTTCATGGCCAGTCTGAGCAAAAGGTCAATAGGGAAGGAAATACAGGGGAAAGAAGCTTCCTCCTGCTGAGTGTGTGCTGTTAGGTGGCCAGAAAAGCCAGTGTCTGACACTGAGATTCACACTACATCTGCCAGTAGGCTGCTTGCAGAATTCCTCTGGGAGCTCTTCCAGACACACCCTGCTCCATAGACATAGTGAGAACAGTATAAATTTTGTTGGCTCTGCATTATTTAAATCGTGCTTGGTCATTCATTCTCATAAAATATGGAATGTGATTTATTATTTCTGTATTATAACTGTGCTGTTGTTTGAAATAGAAAAAAATATAACCAATTAAGATATTGTTCCTCTCAATCATGTGTTAGCACATAACAGTATAAATTTCAGAATGTGTTTTCTCTTGCATTCTGTTCAATATGAAAGGCAGAATCAATATTTTTATTACCATTTTTTAAATTGAAGGGGTTAAGGTGCTGCTCTATAGTAGAACTCATATTTAGTTAGCATGAGTTGATCCCCAGACTCTGCCCCCCTCAAATTTTGAAGTTACTTATTTCAAAATAGCTTATAAATTTTACTTATACAATATTAGGTAATAAAATACATTAATGAACTAAATATATAACTAAATACTCTGGTTTACATGCTGCTACATACATTAAAATATCATTATATATTTACCTGTAATCCTACACTTTTCCTAATAGTTTCTTCTGTCTTCTCACATTTTACATTTCAAGCATTTATTAGGGGTGAATGCATGGCTGTGTACATGTATTATGGAATAATACTTTTATTTTACATATCAATCCCAGTTCCCTCCCTCTCTCTTTCCCTTTCTCCCCCTCACATGCACCCCGACCACCCTCCCCTCCCATCCAGTGCTTAAGTTAGAAAAAAGCACACTTTGCTGGGTGGTGGTGGTACATGCCTTCAATATCAGCACTCAGGAGACAGAGGCAGATGGATCTCTGTGAGTTTGAAGCCAGCCTGGACTACAGAGCAAGTGTCAGGATAGGCTACAAAGCTACACAGAGAAACCCTGTCTTGAAAAAAACAAGAGAAAGGAAAAAGCCCACTTCATCTCTAAGATGATGCCTGTGACTGCACAATTTAAAGTCACATAGGGTGGGGAGGCAGCACAGTGGTGTAGCACCCATCCAGTATGGAGCAGGCCCTGAGCTTTCCTCCAGCACCACAAGAAAGAAGAGAAAGCAGTGTATCTGTAGTAGTCTGTAATACCTGTACAATTTTGTAATTATGTTTAGTAGTGTTTATTAAACTTAAATATAGCATAGAGATAGTTTAGCTTTTTGTTTTGTTTTGTTTTTTTGTTTGGGGTTGGGGGCATGGTCTAATGTAACTCTGGCTGGCCTAGAATTGGCTTTGTACATCAGGCTGGTCTCTAACTCACAGATCACCTGCCTCTGCCTCCTGAGTGCTGGTATTAAAGGCATGCAGTACCACACCCAACTGAAGTACCTTGGTTTAAAACAAACAAACAAACAAACAAACAAACAAACAAAAGAATAAAAATCATGTTCTGAGGTAAAAGAATCTTAATAATGAAGTTGAAATAAAAAAAAAAAAAACAGATCTGGAGACTAATTGTACAATAATGTCAATATATGTTCCCTAACTGTAAACTTTGAAGTAGTGAGGATGGTGAATTTTAGAACATACACATTTTTCTCATCATCACAAAAGAAGCCAATAGAAAGACATGAAGTTTAGAAACAGTGATTACCCTTTTGCACAAAGTTCTGAGTTGGCACTGCAGGGCAGTTGGAGAAGTCCAGCATGGTAGTGAATTTGGTTTCTAGCAGAGGACAGAGCAGAGAGGCTGTGCTTCCCTTCTCATGCTAATCTAGTGACTAGAGCAGGGATCCATGCAAGAGCCTTATTCAGGAGACTAGAAGCAAGACCTCCCTCAGAATTTCCATCTCCCATTGTCTCTTATGAAGGTAATGTTGCCACCAACAGTATGCCATCCTGGAAAATAGCTGCTTCAAACAACTTCACTTCCAGACTTCTTTGTTTGGACTCTGCTCACTGAGGCTGACAGATGAGGGGGTCAAAGAAGTTACTGGTTGCCTATTTGTCATTGATTCCAGTTACACACAGGTGGCTGTGTTTGAGCAGATGACTAACCTAGTGTCCCCATTTTTGGTCTTCTTTTTCTTATGAACCCTCACTCATAAAGTAATTTGAAGGAGGAAACTAAAAGTTGGTTTCTGATCATACACTGAAGAAAGCTTTTTCTCAGTGACAACCTGGCCAGAAAATTATCATTAGAATAGAGCCAGTTTTCCTTCCTTTATGCTTTGTGAATTATTTAACAGTATGGAATCAGTATTCTTTCCCATTTCCAAAGAAGTACTGTTTGCTTTAGAGGTTATGGTAGTGGACGATTCGTGGTTTGTTTTCTTTTGTTAAGTTACAGTGCTAACTTTGACCCTGTTTCTATTAGGAGATGAGAACATGGAGATTAAGAAACAAATTACAGGGATGAGAAGATTACTGAATGACAGCACTGGGAGGGTATATCAACGTGTCGGCAAAGAAGGAGAAAAACTGAAAGAAGAGCCTCAGGATATGAACTCAGTCTGGCCTCAGCATTTGAACTCCTCTGCCGAGGCCCCACAGGGTCTCCACCCTCCTTCACGTGGGGCGTGGAATGAACTACCCACCCAAAGTGGGCAGTTCTCAGGGCAGCGTGGTACACGTTCTAGAGCCTTCCAGAGTCAGCCCCACACCTCTGCAAGTTCCAATGGTATGATTGTTCATCATACAGAATATCCTTGTGGGCAGGTATCCTGGCTTGTTTTATTCCTAAATGTTGAGTTTGTTCTTTGAGATCAATTTATGGAACTCTCCCTTTGTCCCCCACCGGGTTCTTTTTTGGTTTTTTTGTGTGGGACTGGGTGTCTCACGTGGCTCAGCAAGCACTCTTCTACTCATCAGCGGCTCCACTCCTTCCCCTTTATTCTCTGAGGCAGAGAGTCTACATGAGCAAAACTCCAGACTGGACAGGAAAGTCAGAGGGTCTGTGCTAAATAAAAGCAGGCTCCTAGTCGAGTTTTAATGAAGACTTCTTATCTATCAGTACACAGAAGAGGCTGAACATTAATGCAGCAGCAGCTCCTGTTAGCACTAATAGACCCTTCCTGGTCGTGTTGTATTGCTAATGCATGCTCTTGCTTATCCCTTCGCTTCACTTCATCATCAGGAGAGTCCTAGTCAGAGAGAGGCCTCACAGCTCTCATCCTGAGAAGTAGGACTTTAAAGTGATGTTTCTCAACCTGTGGGTCATGACCCCTGCAGGAGAGGTTGAATGACCCTTTCACAGAGATCACCTAAAGACCATGGAAAATTTGGATATTTATATTACAGTTCATAACAGTAGCAAATGATAGTTATGAAGTAGCAATGAAATAATCTTGTGGTTGAAGGCCACCACAATATGAGGAACTATATTAAAGGGTTGTATCACTAGGAAAGTTGAGAATCACTGCTTTAAAAGCCCTGATTGTTAAGTGGGAGTAGGGTTCCAAAATTGTTCAAAGCTTTAGGGAAATATTTGATGCTTTTCTTGGTAATATTAATTTCCCATCCAGTGACATTGACTGTTACTTGGTTTATAAATTATGTATGGATGTGCAGATCTATAGTTTACACAAAGAACAAAGGAAAACTAAGGCATTTCAGATTCCTTGAAAAGTTAAGGATTTTCTTCCCTTCGTTTTCATTTTATGATGTCCTATGATAAAAAGAAAATGTTTTGATTTTTTTTTAAAAAACACAATTCACAATAACCAGTTCAGGGGACTGAGAAGCCATCCTGAGACACTGATGAGACAATAAGGGACTGCAGAGATGTACAGTGTCTTCTCTCAGTATCACATAGGCAAGTATCAAGTTTGCATGCTGGCAGGCTTCCAGGCTAGAGGACAGTTGCTCTTTAAATGCTCGTCCATAACAGTAAAAAGTCAGTTCTCTTTAAAATTGGAAAATGATTTATAATGAGCTGAGAAGGGCTAGTCTTGTCCTCTAAAACATCATAAAGATAGTGCTGAGATTAATGCTTAGGAATATTCTGTAAAGCCCCCTTAACTCTGCTCCAATGAGAAAAAAAAGGGAGCCATTTGGGCATGTAGTAAGTGTGACCCTCCTGCATCAGTGGTTTGGGGTATCAGTCTACTCATCAGTAGTCAAGAATGCTGGATTTGCTTTAGAAACTTACTAATAGCGAAAGCTACAAAAGATTCCTTCAGACGAGAGTCAAAATAGATTGCTTCTTGATTGCATGATTTCAGTAAAAATGAAGAGAGTGTTCAAGTTGTTGAAGTGTCTGTCACGAAGTATAGAGACCTGAGTTCAAATCCCCAGAACCCACATAAAATCCAGGTGTGGCTTCTGTAATCCCAACATTAGCAGGGTGAGGTCAGAAAGAACATATAGGCCCATCAATCAATGAGAGACCCTGTCTCAGAAAACAGTGGAGAGACAAGGAAGGCAGCTGACACCAACCTCAGCTCTCCACACAGCCACATGCACACCCAAATGAATATGAATATATATATATACACATATATATGCGTATATATACTCACACTCACACACACATAGACATGTAAAATGTATTATACAGTTGACCTTGAACAACGTTATGTTGGAATTAATGCACATCTGCCTGTAGGAAATTGTTTTGTAGAGCAACAGTTTGTGCAAGCTCTCAGACAGACCTCATGGCCTAGAAATAGTGAAAAAATTAGGTGAAAGTTAGACATGTCATCACTGTATAAAATATGCAGATAATATTTATGATTTACCATTATCATTTGCTACCAAAATATATATACTTTTTATTTTAAAAAAAAATCAAGATTTATTACAACTTAGGCACACAAACACTATAGACTATTCATGATGTCATTTGCAGTTAGGAGAAATTTTAACAAGTGTAATATTTAGCTACCTCCTGTTACCACTGTGGGAAATTAAAAGTTAAATGGGATCTTCAGCTTCCTTATGCCCTGCCCACCTCCCAGGGCTGCTCAAGGACCACTAAGATACAGTTATGACTGCCATGTGTTTCTTTGTGATAGCTGGTACCTTCTAAAGCAGAGTCACCTCCCTTTGTCACCATTTGAATGTTAATATTTGCGTTGTCCAGAAGTAACCATTAATTTTTCTGTGGTAAACATCAGTATCTACAAATAATGATTGTTATAGGAATTGTGTTATGTCACCTGCCTGTCAGAAACTTAGGAAATAGCCGCCCCGTAGACTGCCCCAATTCATGGTAGCTAACCTGGGCTAGAGAGGTCCTGATGCCAGAGCTTTTTTTCCAAGTGTGCTGTTTCAGTTCACGGAGAGTGGGGAAATACTAGAGCATATGTAGGAGAAACAGAGGAGAATAGCTTCGGTAAGGAGGGTATGTTAAAGATAAACATTGGGAAGGAGACTGGTGATGAGGACTCTAAGAAATGGTGGAGAAAAGAGGGATAATCCTTCACGAGACACCTCTGAACCTTCAGGCAAAATGCTGTCCCCTCCCACCTTGCCTCCTGCTTCTTCCCACCTTAGCTAGAGAGTATTGCAGAAGTGTCTGTGCACCCACAGCTCGTCATTGTTGAAACGGCACACTTTTTCAGTAAAACTAGTTTTCATTAGGCTGGTTTGGTTCTTAATAAGAACTTCATAGCATGTATCCTAGTCAGCGGCGATTTTGTAAGGCTGATGCAGAGCTGGGACTTTTCTTTTTTTGGTTTTGCTTTTGCTATTTGAGAAAGCAGCATGAGAGCTGGAGAGATGGCTCAACCATTCAAGGCTCACAACCAAAAATATAAGAGAAAGTAGCATGAGTGTTTATCATGACTTGTCAGAATATCATTATCCAAGATGAACCATCCTCACAGTAGAGAGGCCTACCTTAGTAGTGCATTGTGTCCTGTGCTCACACAGACCCTGCCACCTGTGTGTAACACAGTATGCACCTTACAAGCAGAAGGCTGAATAATTAGATAAAGTCAGACCCCAAAATTCAGGTTGTGAAAATTACTAGGTACATTTTCTTCTGTCACAGTTTGAAGATAATTGTACATACTTCAAAATCCTGTCAAGATACATTTTTTTTCCCTTTTCTTCATAATTATTTTTTGCATGCTTTGGGAGTATATCATTCTTTTCTTTCATGCTTAGGAGAACTTCCAGGGGCGAACTCATCAGCTGGATCCAACTGCTGTACTTGTAACTGCCAGTCAACATTGCAAGCCATTCTCCAAGAACTCAAGACTATGAGGAAGTTAATGCAGTTTCAAGCAGGTACAAAGATCAGCCCTGCAAAGGCATCCTTTGATTGTGAATGTGTATCTGACACCTTCAGTTGTGTGCATTGTCCTTTCATTCCACACCTCCCTCCCCCCTTCCTATCTTAGTGTGCCTTTCCTGGTATTCATTTTCTCCACTCTTTCAGCAACCTGTGATTTTGTCTTATTTTATTTTTTTTTTAGCAAATCAAACAAATTTTGTTATTGCCCCTAATACTGCTGTCAGGGCTTATGTGGGTGAACTCAGCATACTTCATCCCATGATCTCCTGGTACTTCACAAATGCCAGTTAATTAAATTTTGGAATATCTTATGTGAAAGGACCCTTCAGGAAATGCAAGCTTCCCTGCTGGAGATGCTCGAGGACGTGAGCAAATGAGAAGTGGTGAGTCACAGGCTCTGCTTGTGACTTTTCAGCTTGCACGGGGATGTAGATGGTCTGGTCGGGCATACCTCGCGCCTGGCTGCTCCCCCATCACTTGACTCTTTCTGTTTGTTCTCTGTCATTGGGGAAGGTGAACAATGGAACAGGGCATGTAGAGCTGGGGACTGAATTCCCAGTTTCTCACCCTCTAACTAGATGACTTCTAGGCCTCCCCGTTCTCATCTGTGAATGGAGTATAATGTCTGATTCATGGGGTTGTTTTTAAATGTAAAGGAATAGCAATAGAAAATGAGATTTTTGGATTAATGTAAAGGAGATAGCAATAGAAAATTAGATTTTTGGAAGGCAGGATACACACCTCAATGTTTTTTTTAAAGGTCCCATAGCACTTTGTAGAAGTTTGGAAGTCAAGGCTGAGTGGCTTATTTTTCTAGTTTTCACAATTAGTTAAGAAAATTGGAATCTTTATTTTTGTTACATATGCAAAAAAAAAAAAAAATCACAAATCCCTCAGGACAGGGAAACTGCTGGTACGTGTTAGTGTGGGAGAGCAGCCCAGCCCTGTGGTCATGGCCCTTCTGACTCTCACCACAGTTGTGTTCACAAAGTTAACACTTGGAAAATACATTTGGTGCCAGCCAGAGCATTCTAGTAAAATCCTCACATTCCATGATTTGGAATTGATATAAAAAAAAGCTTGTATCAGTCACTCACAATCAAATTTTTAGAGAAACCAAAGGGATTTCTGGAATATATATATTTTAAGAACTAAAATTTGTCTTATCCCAAGGCAAAAAATAAGCATTTGTCAAGTCCATAAGCAATTGGCTCACTTGCTTCACCGTGATGCTCTCTGTCCTTACCAGGCTGGCAGAGGTCACCATCTCCTACATAAGGGCCTCGGAAAGAAAGGTTACTTTATTCTGTAGATGCTGTTCACAGAGAAGAAATCTGTTAGTACTTAAAATATGCATATGAAATTGTAATGATTTATTTTGTTACTTAAGCTTCCTTACCACTGAAATGGCAAACTACAAATTGCAGCCCTGTAAATCCTTGACTGGAGCCTTCTTAGAATCTATTAAGTAAATGCCATTTTGTCACCATGTTTTCTCTTCTGAACCTTTGCAGATTAGCGAAGCAAATGATTCCAGAGCTATGGAGAACAAAAAGGATAAACCGAATAAATGACTCTCTTTTAATTTTCTTAAACTTAAAGATTCATGTTGTGCAGGCAGATTTACTTGAGGTTTATTGCCCATGAGACTTAGATTTAAATTCTGTTTTGAAAGGTTCACCTTTATTGTATAGGAAGATGAGGACTTAGATCAAGCAGTTAAGATCTGAGCGCAGAAAAACTGGGCTCTTTCAAGACTTGCAGGAGAAGCAAGACTCGGTAGCCCTGCCTGAACACAAAAGACATTTCAGCGACTGAGCTTAGAAAGAGCTTGGGCCTGGGGGGCTGCAGCCTATCTGCTTCTGCTCATGGTTTTTGGAGTGCATTTGATGCTAAGGACAAGACAGGCTAGCCTGGAATTAAAATGCAGCTGCTGTATGCTGGGTTCTCTAGAGAGTCCTTGTAGTTATACTAACACCTCTACTGGACATTCTGACCCACAGCGTCTAGGATGGGTTCATAAGACCTGGGAGTACTTTTCAAAACTCCACACTGACTCTAGTGTGTAGTTAAGATCAAGAACCCTTGTCACCAATCACCACATACGTGGTTAAATAATGCCACTATCTAACTAGTTGCTTCCAAAACTTAGAAATTATCTTCTAGTGCAGAGATAAAAATATTTGGATTAGTTTAAATATTCTTGATTTCCAGACTTGAGGAAAATAAGAGGAAGTAGGCCATGTTGATATACATTTAAAGACTTCATTTTCATGTGGCTTATGTTTATAGGTTTCTTTCTGTTTAAAAGAAAAAAGTCAGGCAGGCACACCTTGTCTTATTTAGGAAGCCATGTTGGTAGAGGAGGACTTGATGCAAATTGAAGCCATATTTTCCTATTTTACATTCCATCAGAATGGTTGATAAATTCTTCTCAGAGTACCTTGTGAAAAGTAAACTTGCATCTTGGATTTCTTAAGTATGTGTTCATTGTAAGCACTTGTCATTGTACTGTTTGTAGATTTGCTAATGTATTTGACTCACATCTATGTCATTCCTACTTTTCATTATGTAAAAAAAGTGGTCTGGAGAAGCAAGCAACCTTGTCTGATGCCGTGGAACATGGCGTGCTGAAGGTAGTTGAAGTGCAGAGGATACTTGATGAGAAAGGAAAGACGTGACAAGATTAAGTGACTAACATGACTTTTCTGTGTGCTTACCCAGACCTGTTGTAGATGGAATCCTTCCAAACTGTTTCTTTCAACTAGTCCTGCCTAAAGGATCATTTGGCCCTTGTAGACTGTAACTAATATACAGAGCTGTTTTCTCCTGGGTGATGCTCTGCTGTTAGGACTGTAACGTGCCTCGAGCTGCCTATGGCAACCCCACAGTGCAGGGTGAGATTTATCTACCTGTGCTACATCCTAAGGGAGCCTCACTTCACTATCAGTGTGTAAATCACAGAGACAGACCCGGGTAGGTTTTCCTCAGACATGAGTGCCTGTACCATATTTGTGTTTATTGTCCACAGTTGGAACTCAAAACAGACAACAACCCCCAATTTCCCTTATATGCTCCCAGCGAACTGCTGTCTCACGAAAGAGAAATAAAAAGAAAAAAGTGCTCCCAAAGACTGTGGAACCTGTGACTGTGAAAACAAAACCCAGTCCGTTGGAAATTGAGAAGAAGTCAGCAGCCGAGGCCACAAGGCCATCTGGTCTCCAAGCCACAGAGCACACCTCCAGTGAGGAGAGCCACGTCCTGGGATTTGGTATTGTTCTCGAATCGCCTTCCTCAGATGTAAGTTGATATTTTCTGGCGGCTGATCTAGTTGATAGAAGTTTTAGGAACCTTACAGTATACTTTCCATTTAGTAGTTCTGCCCAAAACAAGTCGAGAAACTTGGAGGAATGCGTGTAGGAAAGAGGGAGAGAGAGACTGTAAAGAACCACCTTGCCTGGGGTTTCCTTCTCTGGAAAGTGTATGCCTCCCTTATTCAAAGGCATTCTGTTCCTTATCTCTGAAAGAAGGGTGTGCTGCAAATAATCTGCTCACTAATTTCTTTAAGATTTTTAATTTCCAAGTGGCAGTTTTCAATTTCCTCAGTGTAGAAAACTAAAAGAACATAATTAAATCCTTTGTAGATGGGCATAAATGAACACCGAAGCATACAGATAAGGTCATACCTTTGTGGAAACACAAACTAAGAATAAAAAAGGAGCAGGGCACTAATTCTGTTTTATAGATGCAAGCCACACTGCTAATTAGGTAGCAGTGTCGTGCCATTTACTCTGCGTAATAATAGGTTAACACTCTGCAAAGGTTTGCTATTTTAATATCATAGCCAGAGTGTTGTCGCCTTCTAGGATGGTAGATTGCATCTCAGATATTCATCTGACTTGCTATTTTATATTCATAGGACCGTAAATGAATTTCTATCATAATGTGCTGAATTTGCAGCTGCATACTCTGTTTACAATATCTTTATTTAAAGTGCATTTATGTTGTGAACCCCAACTTGTTGGCAGAGTTCTTAAAATAAACAAGAAAATGTGATTCATTATTAGCAGGTTGCATAGGATGAGGCTCCTGCTGAGAACTCCCACGGAGTCCTATAGGACTGGAGTTTGGCCCTACCTTCTAAACTTTAAATAAGAAACAAATTGCTAATTTTTAAAAAGTAGTCTATTTTGAATTATAGGAAGAGTTTGCTAGCACAGATCCGCAGTTGAGTCTTTAATGAAGAGCGGCAATGAAAACAATTATCTCACTGTTTTCAAATTAGAAAATCTGTAGCGCTTTCGCCAGTCCTCAGTGTTAAAAAGAGGCATTTTGTTTTCGTTGTAAGTATATGCCACCGCCATTAAGCTCTTATAAACTAATATTTAATTTACAAAATCCTTTGTGGTAATGAGGTTCTGTATGGGATCAGTCCCCTTGTTTTGATGGTATCATGTCACCACTATGGCTAAAGCCTGGTTCAAGCCCTAGTAAATCATATATTTGAAAATAGATAAATTATCCCACAAAGTACAGTTAAGCTGTTTTTTACACACTCTCATACTTTCCTTAAGTTTCTTTTCTGATAGAAACTGATAAATTAGGAACAGTAATTGAGACTAGATTATCTCCTATTTAGGTGTGCCTGGTGCCATTAATAACTGAATTGTCCCTTTTTATTGTTAAGTTCCAAGTGTATTTTAGCTATAAATTGGAGGTCTATTAAAGACCCTGTCTAGAATAACATTTTTATTATTTTTACCAACATCAGTATTTATTTATGTAATACATACATAAAAACAATTTACATTTATTCATGGCCATTTTTAGTAACAAGAGCTACTAAATTTGATTAAGCACATTCAGAATTGTTCATGAAAACTTAGGTGCAAATTGTCTTTGAATGATAGATGGCCCCATTCTAAAACAAAACTATGAGTATGTCATCCTTATAGTGCCCATCTGATAACACTGTTTGATTAATCTTTTCAGTAGATACTGAACCTCTACCAAGAAGACTTAGCAGTGAGTCCATTACTAGCTGTGAAAATGGTGTGCATGGATGGTACTCATAGGCATTCAATAGGCGGGCCTTGCAATTCCTGGGATGAGGGGTGGGGCTTGAATCCCAAAAAAAGGATTCTCTGTGCTAAAGTATCCAACTTAGGTGCCTTTCTAGTCCTTTAATATTTCTTAGCTATGAGGCTATAAAAATTTTAATGGAAGTATAGGGGAAATAATTCTTCTAATTTTTATAGCAATTATCCTATAAAATAAGTTGAAGAAAGTATATATAAGGAGATGGGAATTTATTTGAAAATGGTCTCTGAAAAAAATCCTCAGTCCAAAATCAGAGTGTAGGGCATTTTGTCCATTGTTTGTAGAATAGTTGACCGGATTTGGAAAAGTAGAGTACTTCCAGGAGCAAAACCTGGATACGGCATGTAAAGCGTCTTCCATTTTTATCTTGAGGACAGTAGGGAGACAGTGCAAGTTTCACATAGAGAAACAATCTGCCTGTTGGAAAGTTGTGATGGGAGTCACATTATGAATGACAGACAGATGAAGAAAGGAGATACTAGAGCAGTGCTTCTCAACCTGTGTGTGGGTCATGACCCCTTTGGAGGTTGAACGACCTTTTCATAGGGGTCACTTAAGACCATCAGAAAACACAGATATTTACATTACAATCATAACAGTAGCAAAAATTACAGTTAGGAAGTAGCAATGAAAATAATTTCATGGACGGGGTCACCACAGCATGAGGAACCGTAGTGAAGGATCATAGCATAAGATGGTTGAAAACCACTGACCTAGAGTCGAGGCAGACAGGAAAAAGATCCCTATAGTTAACCAGGCCAAGGTGATAAGCCTGAAAGTGAAGTGAGAGCCTCTGAGGAAAGACATGTGGTTACTGAAGGCAAAGCCAAGCCCTGGTCTCTGTCTTGGGAAGCAGAAGGGTGCCTAGCTGTTCTGTCAGCAGCTTTACACGAGATAGGAAGAGTAAGCATAAAGATGCCTTTCTGTTCTGGGTACAAAGGAAAAGTCAGTTTAGTATCCTTGAATATTTAGACCCTATCAACACAGGAGAAAGATTGATGTTAAGCTTCACACCTCTGCTAATTGCTAAATTAAAAAAGAAGAAAAAACTGAATTATTCTTGAAGATTTTCAATGTATTAAGTTACTATCTTTACATTAACTTGACCTGTCACACAAATGCAATTGTGTGTATTCAGCACAAACCCAAATATAAGAGGCCATGTGGGTCTGTAGATCACTAGGTAACTCCCATCTTCTAAGTGATGATTGTGCCTACCCAGGTCCAGGAATGCACATAGCTCTAACCAAGATCCTCTGAAATTCCAATGCATTTAATGATGTCATATATGGGAAAATCCTATTGCACTGCCTTGCATATAAAAGATACTCAATAAATGTAATTTAGTTTACAAATGACAAAACATTTACTCATGCACGAAACACCTTGTACAAAATAAACTTAAAAACATTGGGTCCAGATTTGGCTTCAGTGCCATTTATTTGCTCTTGTCCCTCAACATTTGAGCAGTTCTCCTTTATGGAGCCTTCAGTGGTTTTTTCCTTAATTATTTTCATGATTTTGTATCCTTTCATAGCAGCTTCTCAAGAGCAGCAGGGCCGTATATTATAACAGTAGTGAAACTCATGTATTGTCCTATGTGAACTAAGTCATCTCATTTGGTCCTTACTCTTGGGGGGCTTCTTACTGTGACCCTCTTACAGGGAGCCTGCACAAGTGGGCTGGGTCAGAGGAGGTCACACTATGTCTCCACTCTGGTTGTCATCTGCCCTTGTTCACTGTGGGAAAGACCTTGGGTGCCCATTCAAGTACACTCCTCTTCTGAATTTTTAGTATTTTTATATGTATGGGTATTTTGTCTTCATGTATGTGTGTGTACCATGTGTTTACCTGGTGCCCATGGAGGCCAGAAGAAGTTGTTGGAATCTCTGAAGTGGAGTTACAAACAGTTGTGAACCACTATGTTACACCCCAGTCCTCTGGAAAATCATTCAGTGTTTTTCTTAACCACTGAGCCATCTCTCCAGCCCTCAAGCACACTTCTTGGACATGATAAGCACTCAGTAACTCTTTATAAAAGAGAACCAAGTGGTTAGACTGTGACTTTTTAATTCTGTTTACTTGACACTTCCTTAGGGGGCAAGGAAGTGGTTAAAGGAACAGACTGCTGGCTTAGGGTCTCAGCTCTGTGACCCTGAGTAAGCAAACTCTGGTCCTCACTCAGCACCCTCCCTATAAATGGGGATAATAATGCCTTCCTCACAGAGTTGGCCTCTTGGAAGAATTGATGAAGCCTTCTATGTAAAGCACTGAGAACAGGGCCTGGCACATTTCAAGCACTCAATAAATACTGATTCTTTTTAAAACCTTGCCATTCCTACCTAAGTACCTTTAGAGGAACAAATGTAAATACAGTTAAGTAAATTTAGCTGTCTGTATAAATGATCAGATGCACGTGAACAAATAGTGCTATGGAGGAGGAAATAGCTGGGGGGTGTGGGGGTCTTCACATGTAAAGCATGATTATTTGACCCTTTTAAAATTAGCACTTAAATAGAATTCAAGCCTAAATTACACAGAGGCAAAACCCAAACCCAATTCTGAGATCCAAATATGTTATTTAATTCTTCCTGAATCCACAGTACAATGCTCTATTAGTACTGAGACAATCCAGTTGTTCATTTCTTACAGTCGCTGCTTTTCGATACTGGGTCTGTTGATGTGTGTTTCTTACGGCAGATGTACCTGAATTACGTTAGCTTTGTTGATGCTGACTCCTGTTTTGTTTTGTTTTGTTTGCTTTGCTTTTTTGAGCCACTCAGACAAGGTTTAAAAATGGTTTCATAAATTTTAATCATAGAAAATGTTTTTATTTGATGGAGTTATTATAAATACTCTCCAGTAATTCTAGATTGCAAAAATCCTAAATTAACAGAAGACAAATGATGAATATTCATCAGTTTAAGATAATTTTGTTAATCCTGATCTTGTATGCTTCTTAAATAATTTTAAATGTATTGGTGCCTTCAACAGAAATAGCTTCTTAATTCAGATTGCTTGCTTGATAACATCGTATTTCAATAGATAAAATGTTCTGCTAGGATCAATTAAGGTAAGTCATGGAAATCATTCCATTTACACGTTGGCATGAATGCACATGTGTGTGGGAGCCTAAGTTTCTATGGCAGGCTGCTTGAGTTCAAATTCTTGACATATCATGTTAGTTGGATGGTGTTTAA